TAAATTTTAAAATCACACAGGATTTGGTAAAATGCTTAATTTCATTCTTAATTTAGAAGCTGGTTTTGTGTATTTGCTATAAGAAGGCTTCCAAATTAAGACTTTTCCATAATTCAGTGTGATATAAATGTTAAAGTTCTTGGATATAGAGAGTTTTCACTTTACATCCAGCCTATTATGTATCTGACCTAAGATTGCTTGCTGTTGATACTGGGATGGAAAAAGAGATAACAAATTCTTTTCTGTAACTTTTTATTTATATATTTTTCAAATACATAAAACAAACAGAACAATTCTAGAAGAAAACAATTCCAACATAAATTTCCTGATACATATGGATGATGCCTAAAAGATGTCTATTGTTTTTTTGGAAAACTTATGTTTTTGTAAATTACATTCTCCTTGAATGCTACTCTTGAGAACACACTTTTGTGACTCGATGTATTATCAACTTGGACATCTCTAAAGCTTGTGATAGAGTCTGGCCCTTTTTAAACAAATTGACTTTGTATGATCTTCCACCAGGTTGATGGTCTTGGCTATATCTAGCTTTTTCTCTAATCACTATCTGTGCTGTAGTTAATGGTTCATCCTATTATCTCAGGGGTTTCCTAGTGCTCTTGCTTTTTCTCTACATCAATGTCCTCATCCAATCTCATGCGGCCTAAGCTACTCTATTGTTGATGACTCCTCTCTACATTCATTAACATTCTTCAGTGCACATGCCCACAGTGCCCATAACCTTCCTGTTGTAGTGCAATTACTGAATCACAAACCTTGATTTATTTCCTGCCCTTCAATAGACAAAGATAATTATGTTTTTGTTTCAGTTTTTCAAAGACACAGTTTATTCATTTCTCTCAGAAGACCTCTAGAACATCAAGGTGGCTGGAATGTCACAAACTATCTTATATAGTCCCTCACACCATGCTGAACCCTATTGTCTACAAATGTGTGTTCAGGAAACTAAGGCTTGAGTCAACAGCTCAAGCCTCAGCATTACCTAAAATGTGGGGTTTTAACCGTATGTTCACACATCCAGAGTGTGGGATTTACTTGAATTGGTGTGCAGAGTAAAGCACCTACTGGAGTGCTGCACTTCCAACTGGTAGAACCATCACTCAATAGGTAGGAATAGGAATTTGTATCTTGAGTTATGGGCAGAAAGGTGGTGACAATCTTCTCATCCATTCCATGAATTGCACAGCTCACCATAGGCCCACGAGGAGTTCTTGGTACCTGCCACACACCTAGTGAGGGCTCAAACCTACACTTGTCAGACATTTAATAACCAACTTGTGGCTATTCATGTAAGTGGGGACTCTTTGGGGCTGAGCTCACTCTAAGCTGATGTGCCTGGCATCAGAATGCAAAATTGGAATCAAACCAATCCTTTATGGCTGTTTGGGGTTCTTGAGCTAGATGGATTCTTAGTACTCAAGGACAATATTAATGTGAGACTAGTCAGACTGGCTCTTTGGCTGGACTTGGAGGGGCAGGCTGGGGGCATGGTTTCTTCTCATGTATTAACCTTGCAAGCCAAAGCACTAACTAATAATAATAATCCTTTCATTTGATATAGCTCTTTTCACGTCTTCTAGATGTCTCAAAGCGCTTCGCAGAATATGCTGAAAAGTGAATTGACTGTATATTTGTGGGCAAAACATGGCAGCCAATTGCACACAGCAGTATCCCACAAACAGTCGTGGATTGAAAATGACAAATTTATTATTGTTTTTGTTTTTTTGGAGGGATTATTATTAGGCGTGTGGAGTAAGGAAACTTGTCCAAGGTTTCGCCCTGCCTGGAATTGAACCCAGGTGTCTTGCTTGCAAGACGCGTGCTCTAACCACTGAGCTACAGGAGTCCACAAACTATCTCCTTGAAGTAGATTTCTCACATTTTCTCCATTGTGATGAGATCTTCCAAGAATCTTGGTTTCTCTTTTTGTGCCAAATATTTTATTTTCCTCCAAAAAACTCTTAATCTCTAAAGCCCAAGTTTTTAAATCAAGAATTGAATACCACATACTCCCATATATCTAGGCAGCTTTTTGTAATATTGTTCTTGCACTTATTTTGTTCCCAAATACACACACGAACATCACTTTACAATCTATCATGTGAAGCTCTTTGAGATATCTCAATGATATGATAAGGCAGTATAACAAAAGCAAGGATTATGATGGTACAAGAAAAGGCTTGTTGACTGGTAAATGATCCTTTCTTTACCTAAGGCCACCATCCTCTCTCATTCCAACACAGCCTTTCCTGTCTGCCTCTATTTGATCAATACTATTTTAATCGCTTAGCCAATAAACAATTCTCATTTATTCCTCCGAACCTTCTGACTCATTAACCTACAGGCTGCTCCTCCTCTCTGTCTGCAGACATTAAACCTCACTGCAATAATCCTCCTCTAACTCATTGCTTCCAGGGACCATAAGATTTTGAAATTCCTTACCTTCTTCACACACTCTTTATACCGGTGGCAGCAATGCGATTATTTTTTGGACTGCAAAGCCAAAATTATGTTTCTGCTGTGGCCAGCTCTCAGCTGTGAGGTGTGGAGAGATCTGTGCTTGTTCCCATTATTGAACGGTGGTTACTTTTTTCAGCATTACTAAAGATCTGGTTCTTTGAATCCTTTGTCACCTCAAGGCTGGACTATGGGAACTCTCTCCTCGCCGGCCTTCCCGCCACCTCCCTCCACAAGCTGCAGGTCATTCAGAACTCTGCAGCTCGTGTACTGTCCCGCACCAGGCTTCGGGACCACATCACACCCACCCTCGCTCGCCTCCACTGGCTCCCCATCCCCCAGCGGATTGATTTCAAGATCCTCATCCTCACCTATAAGGCCATCCACGGCCTTGCTCCCTCCTACCTCTCTGACCTACTATCCCCTACCTACCTGCCCGTACCCTCCGTTCCTCCGGCTCCGGTCTGCTCCACGTCCCCCGCCCTAATCGCCCTACCATCGGTGGTCGGGCCTTCAGCCTCTCAGCCCCCAGGCTCTGGAACTCCATCCCCCAGTGCCTTCGCCGCTTCCTCCCTCTCCTCCTTCAAAGCCGGTCTCAAAACCTTTCTCTTTGACCGAGCCTTCAGCTCCCCTCTCGACTCTCTTCCCCCTCCTCGCTCCCTCCCTTCCCTCCCCTCACCCTGACCATTTCCCCCCTCCTCGCTCCCTCCCTTCCCTCCCCTCACCCTGACCATTTCCACCTGCTCGGGTCCTGACCCAACTGTGCAGCGCCTTGGGACGTCCTCCTGACGTGAAAGGCGCTTTATAAATGGAATCTTGTTGTTGTTGTTGTTGTTTAAGATCTACCCTGCTGGTTTAAAGACTGAGGCTCTGAATTTATGCAATGCTCCGAATGGATGATTTATACTGCACTGTGACAATTCAAATGTAAAAACTGCGTTGAATCAGCACTAAAGGTGTAGTATAAATGGCATACCAGTCTTCCTTTCCTAATACAATCTGTAGGCTTTTAAAACCCAAGCTTTAATCCCGTTAACCCTGCAAGCCAAATTGTAACAGGCAGGCTGGTACTAGCTCGACAAGCGGTGGGAAGCTTGCCAGACAGCACGTTCAATGGCAAGGCGAAATGTGGCAGCGAATTGCGAACAGAAGTGTCCCACAAACAGTTGGGGATTGAGTGACCACATTTTTTTGAGGGATTATTTCTCCCAGAAAGCAATCCATGAATCAACTAAGAACTGGATTCCTATTTACTTCTGGGTAAACATTAAGGAAACTTGCCTAAGGTTTTGCCTCACCAGGGATCTAACTCTCTCGCTTGCTCGGCGAGCATGCTAACAACTGTACTTTGGGACTCGATTTATCCTCTTCATAAAGGATAGTGTTTTGGAAAACTATAAAATTGTATCCTGTATCTCTCTCTGTATTCAGCTAGAAATTAATTTGTTTCACAGCTGTCATGCCAACTGCAGGGTATTTTTGAGGTGTGTAACTTTGGGCAATAATGCTAACAGGTTTGTGTGGCTTCTCAATCCAGTAATGCCCATAGCCATCATGTTGAGATTTACATCAAAGATCTTAAAGCTGTCTTTAAACTCGGTTCCAATAGTGAAAATTAGTGGCTTCTATTTCATTTTGGGGAAGAATTGTCACAATCACTCTCCTCCCTGCCTGTCAATTAATTTCATGTTGAGCATTAGTTGAAAAGTTCCTGCACAACACCCGAAGTTGACATGTTTAATCAAACTGAGAGTCAAGCAGAAGTACTCTGCAGTTGTCAGGTGTGAAACCCTCCCAAATAGAGCTTGCAGTTTATCTGTTCCTAGACGGATTGAAGATCCACCTCTCCCCTTGTGTCAGCTGGGGGTCCGACACACATAGAAACCAATCATCATGCCAAAGTGCCTCCAAATTAAAGGACTGAGGGTTCTACATAAAGATCCTGCGGCACTATTTGAAAAGAGAAGGGAATTTTTCCTAGTTTCCTGGGTAACAATCGCTAAAATACAATTGGTCATTCACTTGAAGACTGTTTGTGGGACATTGCTATGAACAAATTGACTTCTGCGTTCGCGTACAAATTAGTTATTATACACTACAGTAAATCATGTGAAACATTTTGAGATATCTTCCTGACATGAAAGGCAAGAATTCCTGACAAGAATTTTTTCTTGCATTATACAATTTATTATTTGTTTTTGTTTTATTATTGCAAGAATTCTTACAGAGGCAGTTCATCAGAATCTCCTACCTGGCATAAAATGTCCAGCCATATGTCTAGCTAGATAAAAATGCTGTCTCCTAGACTCTGCATGAGAACTTTGTAACTAAGGATTATTCTGTCCTGGTATAATGATAAATTTAATGGAAGGTGTGGTACACTTAAAGGGAACAGATTCAATATTTGCAGTTATTCTTCTATGGTACCGTTTGCTATAATGAAAGCCTAAACTGAAATAAATGCAAATCTCAATGCAAATTTCTTTAGCTCTAACTCCGGTATTGGTTTTCTTTGATTGCAGAATATTTTGCGCTAGACTGACCAACTGACATTAGTTATTAATGTTGAAAAATTACTCAAACAAGCATGGATGTGAAAGAACGGAAACCCTACCGATCTTTAACAAAGGGTAGACGCGAAAAGGAGCGGCGATACACCAGCTCTTCAGTGGAAAGTGAAGACAGTAAAGTACCTCACAAATCCTACAGCTCCAGTGAAACACTCAAAGCCTATGACCAGGACCCAAGGTTGGGTTACGGCAACCGTGTCAAAGAAATGATTCATCAGGAATCAGATGAATACTGCAGACCAGGTATTTCACATTTCTATGAAACTACTACTTTGTAAAAGCTAAAAATGTTACTGAAAAGCATGAGCCCATTGAGGTGGGTTGAAGAATTCAACCACAATAGTAAAGTTGATACTGTGGGTCAGGGGTTATTTATTTGTAAAAGGACTAGGAAACAATGAATCTTGCACATGCCTCAATGTGATGAATAGTGTATGCTGCACATACTCAAAAGTGAAATCCAGTGCCACATGTGACTATTGAGGTTGCATTAATAGCGTCATTCAAAAGGGAACTGGTTAGGAATCTGAAAATATTTTTTAAAATCTTTGAATTTGGTATAGTGCCATTAACATTACGGGGAATATCTTAAACTGTTTTACAAGTGTGACATGACTTGAAAAGAGATAGTATTTGCTTGTAAAGCCCCTTTTGGCATGTTTGAGCATAATTAGGTGCTATAAAAATGCAGGTTGCTTCCCTGTTTCTTTGCAAAGTAAACTGCCTTGCCTTGAATGGAGAACTCTCTGTCGTTTTGATCTAGTAGCAATTGATGTGGAGAAAGCAGCCTTATATTGAGCAAGAAGTATGAAGAAGAGATCTGTGCAACCTACAGACAAGATCGTCAGAATGTTTAAAAACAAGAGTTTGAGTTAGGTGCTGGTCATATATTGGGGTGAATTTAACAATATGTTTGATATTTATTCTGTACAAATATACCCCCAATTCAGGCTTCCAATCCCCAGCTCGGGGTGACAGTCAGCTGTGTCAAGCACCTTGAGATAGAAAAGGCATTATATCAATGTAAATTGGATTTTTACTGGGTGAGTCAGAGACTCTGCCTCACCCGGTTCTCAATGGCTATATCCATAAACTATTAAACTTCCAGCACATAGCCCATGGCTTTCGTCAACCTATTGGTGGAATACTGGGATTGTGAACTATTTGTTCATGAAAATGTCAGTTTCTAGTTGACTAGGATTTGAAAAGCACGCTTTTGTTGGGCTGCAGACTGTAGGTATCAGTAACAAGTAGTGTATATGCACATTTAACAAATCTGATGTCCAAACCCCTTCACTGATGGAAAGCTGTTTTTACATGTGAACAAAATGTGCCCGAGAAAGTGTTAACTCATTTGCATGGCTAGTTTTAATTAAAAAATTAAATCAATAAAATTTCACGCTTGCTTGAACCTTTGTGAAAGGTATTCAAAGAAAACCAATGTAGTTCATTTAGAATTTGATCAGAACTGTTAATGAATTCTCAGCAAGTAACATGGAAAAAGCAATATTCCGAGACAGCTGAACATCAGTCAGAATATGGAGCAGAGTTTCAACCTTCTCAAAAAGTTACAGCCATACTCTGGGATACATCCCATGTCTGAAAAGGAGAAGCGTGTTCATTTCATTGCATGAGATTCTCCAGTGGAGTGTCGAACAACATTCTCTAAAGCAAGGTAGCTCAAGTGTAACAGGAGAAGGTAGAGGTGCAAAGGTGGGGGAGGTAAAAATTCAAACCTCCTGTAATGTTGCCAAACTGTGTTTAGACAACACAGTACTTGTAATTTCCAATGAATAAGGAATAGATGACAGCATTTTATGCCATAAATGTAATTGCACTCTTAGCCTTGTTGATAAGAACCTAATTTATGCTTTTGCAATTTGCCAATGGTAGGATTGAAAGGGTTAAATTTGTGGTAGCATTTCTAAACATTTTTTACATACAGTAAAGATGGAGACAACAGTCATGTCCTAAAGAGTACAGTATAATGCCAGGTTGCAATGTTATATTAAAAATGGTTCTCCTTACTTAATGGCTATTAATTATTACTGTAATTTTATTACACTCAAAAAAAGATGTTTACCTAAGTAGAAAGGAAGAATTGCAGTCATCATGTTATTGTACATGAATATTGGTAAAATGTGACAAACCATTAAGTATTTATGATGAAACCATTTTTTCAGCTGAGTCATATGAGTCTCCTGCCAGTAAGCAATATTTATTTTCACTTTCACCCCCAAAAAGTTAAACTTGAATAAAAAGAACTCAATAATGGAGACAAATGTATCTTTTTCTATCTAAATATAAAATGAAAGCATCCCTCCTCCTTTCGTCCACCCCCCCACACACACACATTGAGGTTGTCCTTTTGAAAGGGCACGTTGGATTCAGGCTGTGAAATCAATTTACTGCACAGCATATATTGTAAAGAAATTTGATTTTCAGTTAATTGTAGGAGTCATTTTTCATAATTTATGAGTTTTCTTGCCAGAGGCAAGAGCGAGCGCCAAGCTTTAATACTGCTGATGTGCAGAACCAGTAAGTCAGGGAGTGGAAGTGAAAACAAGAAAAATAATCTTTTTTAAAATAAAAGTGACTCTTCTGCTTTACTGAGTAGGGATGAGGTTAAGCTTTTAGATCGAGGATAGATTGGCTTCAGAATATTCTGCAGCACCAGTTCAAAAGAGATTGCCAAGCCTTTGGGCCCAGGAGAATTGGGTCCATTCATTGTTTTGTAGTCGGTGCAAAAAGTAAAATAAAAATTAGTTGATCATGCACAATACCATCAGTAATCACAACCCCCATGTTTTGTATTCAGAGCCAAGGTTCAATAGCAGATAGTGACTTCAGCCCCTTGTGCCCATCTCGGGTTGACAGGCTTGTCAACATTCCCATATCTGTCACAGGCAATTTAGGGGAAAGGGAGATGCAGAAAAAGATAACACTGTTTCAAGGCTCTCCTTTCCTTACCCGTTGACTGTATTCTTCTCTACATTTAAATTAGTTAAAAGAAATTAAATCTTTATTTACTCTGGATTTTCTTCCAGCTCATTGTAGAAGCCTGTGGCTGTTTGGACAGCTGGAATGCATCGAATTGAATTAAAATGGTTCAGGTTTTAGCATTCCAACAGTTTCCTCAAGGATTGTTTGGAGTATGGCAAGGGGTGAGCTAGTTGTACATCTTTTACTATGGCACACAAGGGGGTAGAAAGAGGGGCTCAGGTTTTGAAAGACTGATGGCCAACCCTGGTCCACTTTGAGTTTTATAATAATATTGTTTTAGGGATTATTTGGAAGCTTAGCTGTTCTGAAATCAAAGATGCTTATGCAGCCATACAATTTTTAGTACAGATCCTCTCCTGAAAACCAGAATTTCCTTGTGTCAGCAGCTCTTTATTAAGCATTTGACTGGTAATGTTTTTCTGTGCGTTCCATGAACTGGATCCAAGGTGACATGTTTGTCAACAGAATGTCAGATTCAAACCAGCGCTTTGTGAGGGTCTCAGACGTCCGGTTCCTGAGACAGGCAGGTCCACAGTATACCAGGGCACTGCTGATGACAACACAGCCATCCTGGCTCATCAGCAGGACTTGGAAGGGCAGACCAGTCACTGGGAGAAGGGAATTTTTCCACTCAGCTCCTGTTAGCCCTGCATGCCAAAGCCCTAAAGGGTGGCATGGTCCCAGCTGGACAAGCAGCAGGAAATCTTGCCAGACAGCGGCATCAATGGCAAGCTACATGGTTTTAGCTGGTTAGACTATAGCAGTACCCCAATGCACACTCTGGAGTCCCCAAGCTATGGCTCTGTGTTTCTGGAATTAGGTAATTAATTAGGAATTAGAGTGTGCAGTGCGCAATCTATTCCAACAATCTAGGTCTGGAATTTTCATGTGTAAGTGGGATGTATGGAATTCTCAGCTTGGTTTGGGTACTTTTAAACATGGTGATAGGTTTCCGCACATATCAGACACCAGGGTGACCAAACAAATAATTGTATGTGTCCCATTGCATTAGTGTTGGAAGGAGCATTTACTTCACTCTGTAGACTGTTCTGAAAGATAGTACCCAAAGAAAAAGTAAGTTCATTTCGGTAGTTTACTCATGAACACATGCCTCTGAAGTTTGTTGCTGTGTTATGGAGCCAGCCTGCCACTTTGTATTTTCCACCATGTTTAGAGTTTAAAGCAACACAACTGACTGAATGAGACTCAAATGTTTGTCCGTTCTATTCTTGCTCAACATGTCTAAAATGTAATCAAGGAAGACAAATACAACAAAGTTAGTGATTTTATTTACAGGCCTGTCGAACTTGGGTTTAACTTGGAGAGTGCTTTTTCATTTAATTTTACCAGCACATTTACTCACATGTTTTAACCTCTACTATAAAAATGCACAACACTTGTAAAAGTTATGGGTCTGGGGAAGGGCATGGAGGAAAGAACAGAATTCAATTTGTGAATTAATAATGGAAATGCCAGTGTTTGTGAGTTAACATCTGGTTGCATCTGAGCTGTCAGAATAATGTTGGGGGAGCCCTAAATCTGTTAGTATGTGTGTGGAGACAGAACAATGATTTCACCACAGTCCAATTTAACCACAACAACTTGCATTTATACAGCACCCTAACAGCCTGCCTCACAAACCCAGTATAACCAGATGGAGAGTGTGTCTGTTGTCACACTTGGAACTTTTAATACTTTTCCGACCATAATTGATTACATTTGCAGTTGGTAAGAAAACATGACCTTAAAAGTAATGCAGGAAATTTAGCTTTAAAAATAAACATTGAGCAGATTTGGCATTTTATGGGAAGCTGGGAAATAAAAAAAATGTTCACCAACAAATAAATACACAGTTACTAATTTCTACATGAACCCTGCAGTGATTTGAAACTTTTCAATGTGATTAGGCACTGTATGAAATGCAAAGATTATTATAAATGCCATTTTTAAGCAATTGAACACAATGACGACCTGTCACCGGGGATTTCTGAATTGCAAACCTTGCGTTAACTTGCAATCAAATTTCAACCTGGTTGGAAACCTACTAACGTTTGATTGAATTAAAGGTAGCAGTGGTTCTCCTCATCTTCAAAGCAATGTTAATTTTGAAAGCAGTTCAACACTGCAGTTTTCACTGAGAAGTTCCTAAATTCTTCAAACACTTTTTTGATTAAAAAATTTGCTGATGACACAATTTTGGATAATGTTTGAGCAGACATGCTGGTGATGGTATCCGTTTGGTTTGATTTATGCTGTTGCCACAATTCTCACAGGTGTTTGTCCTCTGCAGCAAAAAGGAATGCACCTTATCCAAAGGTAGCTTAGTATGAATGGGATGAGGTAGGGAGGATGCAAGCAAAGGTGACTTAAATTGTCTAACCTAAGCCTGTAAAGCACCATTGTGTGCAGAGAAGGAGGGCTTTCACAGTGCTTTCTAATGCATTTGTCTTTTTGACTGAACCTTATGTTCTAGGAACCAATTTTTCTCTGCGAGAATTGGCAATGAGCGAAGCGAACCCTCAGCATGGGACTGGCTACCGGGTGGCGGACATGGGGATGCCACATCGCGGGTACTCCATAAGCGCTGGTTCCGACGCTGATGCTGACACGGAGACTGATGGAGTCATGTCTCCAGAACATGCCATGAGACTTTGGGGACGGAACGCTAAATCAGCACGGAGCTCCCGTTTATCCAGTCGGGCAAATTCTGCCCTCACACTCACGGACACAGAGCACGAGAACACAGAAAATGGTAAGAAACCAGAAGTATTCATGATTTCTCAGAAGTAAGCTAAGCCTGGCACTATGTTCTATGATTAACAACTGCAACATATTTTGGTGACTTTGGAATCTGTGTATCACTCTGATTCCATTAATAGCCCATTGACAAAAATGTTGTCCGTGTTCGTTCATAAGTGCACACTAAATGCTTTTGCAATGGCTCAGTTCGGAACAATTTTTTTCAAAAGATGGATTCTTTTTCTCTAATTCATTTTCTTTCTGCAAAAACTTTGAACTTTTCTCATTTTTTTGAAGTACTGCAACGCAATGATGCAAATTGCAGCAAACACATTACTTTAGAGCTTGCACATACGTACGAGGCTGAAAATTGCAGTCTATGTGATATTTATCACAACAAATGTGACAGCAGCAGATTTGTTGCCTCTGTGACATTTGTATTGCAAATCACACAATGTGGAAATGTCAATATGATATTATGTTGAAAATTATGTATTGTTATACATTCTTATCCCCCTCATTTAAAGCTAATGCCCTTTATTGACTTAAGAATGCAGGCACGAAATGTAATGTTCCATTGTAAAAAAAAATGACAATACGCTGGTGAATTGTAAAAATATCTAATGTATGACCCATTCCCATTGTTCTTTGAGTGACCATGTAAACACGTAGGTTCTGAGAGTTGGATGCCAACTTGTAGATTGATGCCTTTCAGGAGCATTTGCACTGTAAAAGTGCCACTTAAAGTGAACATATATTTGACGATTTAAAAAGGAATTGCAAATATGCTCTTTACTTTAGGATGTGAGGAGGATAACTCACTTCCACTGGAGTGGAATGGTCTTCGTGGCAATGTGTGATGTGCCACAACTGTCTATTACCATGGAAAAGTGCTGGGAATCAAATAGTGGCTGGTCATGTCATTTATTGGGTAGTAATTCAATGGATCCTGCTTCTTTCATGTCATAAAAGTAATTTATGCAACACTAAATCAATGGAAGAACAAAAATCAGATTAAATAATTGCTCGCAATGCTGTTTCCTAGGAGAGACTGTGGTGATGCATTTCAAAGAGTTTTTTTTGAGAAGCAAGAAGGATAGAAATAACATGGTGTTGATAGAAACTCTGGATAAGGAGCTAAGATTTCCCCCTTGTTGGTTCATACCAGTGCCTGCAAACTTGTTCCATGGCAACAGTTGTAATATTTTTTGTAGTTTAGAAACTGTCAGAATGTTCAGTTTGCAACATATAACGGAATATTTGGTGTTGTATGGTGTGAATACAACGATGGGTTATTCGTAGTAAAGAGTTACGGAATATTGGAAAACAAGAATAAGAAAGCATTCAGCCCATCAATCCTGCTCCCCCAGTTTGTTGGATCTTGATACTTCTATTATCGTTATGTCCCACCCTTTTGCCATCTCCTTAGTACCTGAACAATACCCTTTCATTTCTACTTTTCCTCCATTCCTTCCTCTCTCCCTCCCTCTCCCCTAAACCTAATGTTAATAAATTACCGAGAACTATGAACATGAGACTAAAACTATACTATTAGTGTTCTTTGGGGATTGGCAATCATTTGATGGGAAAATGTAGCATAAATGGGGTTGGGAAAAGTACCTCACAATGTAAAGAGCACCTCCTCCAGTGAGTAACAGGTATATCACACCTACTCATGAGAGTTTGGCTCAGGTAACATTTTGGGTTAAGTTCTTGTGCGTCAAAGGGACATATAGTTGGAACATATTGTGTTCACTGGAGGCAAGCACTTTCTGAGGTGCCATTTCCAGTCCAACGCATCATTTATTCTTGTGTTTTCCTAACAAGCACTTTCTAGTTCCTACTGATTTACAATGGAATGGACATCTGCCTTCAGTGTGGTAGGAGGACCTTTACAGGATAGCTTGCAACACCTTGAAGTTCTCAAGATTCAATTCCATTGCCGCGTTTCAGGCTAACTCAGCACCAGGTCCTCATGTGAGGTGGTTTTGGCAAATGGACATGCTCATTATGAAGCCATTGTTGCCATTGTATTGCCAGCAATCTGTCAATTAAAAATTATGTTCTTGAACCTTTTTCTAAACTTTCAGTTTGCTTTTCCGCCACCCAGTGTGTCAGAACTGTTTTTATTGGTGCTGTCCGATTAGACCACTGCTGCACGTATCAACGCATTTGCAGCCTCACTTGAATTTCACAAGCTCTCCAAGCACAGTGACAGAGACGGTAGACTCTGTGTTACATCTGTCAGCAAAGCTGATCTCACGGGAGACACGGTCGGGTGCTTGAGCAAGCCAACAGAAAATCAATGTTTTAAAACCTGGACCATCATTTGAAAAAATACAAACCAAACCAACCATTTCTTTAAAATAAATATACTCAGCCACTCGGTTAAATACACTGTTGCAAAACTGTGATTGTGACCTGCATAAGAATGAATTGGAGCAAAGGGAGTCTTTCATCTGAATGCTGTATGAGTAAAGGTCCCCCTTCGCTCCCGCTGCCGACCAACACAGTCAATCAGTTGCTCTTCTCAGGTTCTGTTCCTCTTCCCCCTTAAAACTGCTGTCATCACTCCCATCAAAAAACACAGCCTTGACCCTCCAACCTTACAAATTACCATCCAATTTCCAATCTGTCCTTACTTGCCAAAGCTCTGGAACACATTGTGGCAACCAGCTTTGCTCACGCTTAAAAAAGTGTTTATGACTGTTGCAAGGAAAATGTAATCTCAGAAAGATAATAATAATGCTTACATTTGATATAGCACCTTGTTACATCATTAAGACGTCTCAAAGCACTTCACAGAATATTTTGTAAAGTGAAATGACTTGTGTATTTTGTGGGCGAAATGCAGCAGCCAATTGCATACAGCAGTGTCCCACAAATAGTCATGGAATGAATAACCATTTTTTTTTGTGGGGGGTTGGAATTATTACCGCTGGAAAGTGATCCGCCAATTGACTAACAACCAGGTTCCTACTTACTAATAGGTAAACGTGTGGAATAAGGAAACTTGCCCAAGGATTCTTCCTGACTGGGAATCGAACATGGATCCTCTCTCTTGCACGTGCTAACCATTATACTATAGGACTCCACAAGTAGAGAAATATCATGGGTGAAATTGCAGCAAATTAATAAGTTAGAGCAACTGAAGAATAGAAAGAAGTGATCAAGCTCAGGAAGATCTTTAACAACATACACAGCAGCAATAAGCTGCAGGGAATAGATTTATTCAATGAAAACTGTTCGCTGTGAATGCTAAATGGATACTTCTTGCATTCTGAGAGGAAACCAACTGTTCTTCATTTCTCAATTCACATCACAGACACAGTTAAAAATTACAAATAGTGTTAAAACAATAAGCAATAAGATTGAACTTTGGGGATGATAGTCTACAATTAATGAATGGATTTGATAATACAGTTCTAGTTGATATTTATTAATGCAGAGTTGTGAATTGATGTGGGGAAAAAAATTAAAAAAGATATTTGAAAAGGGTTAAAATAAAAGATATTGTTCTTTGTTTTATTTCGGGCAAGTGCTATGAGCCACATTATTGCCATGGAGTAAAATATTTTGACATTTAAAATGCCATCCCATCTACCTACTATTCAACCCTTGAAGCACTCTTTTTGTACTCTGGGTGAAACATGTCGTAGATGTACCATTTCAGCAATAATTGCAGTTGCAGAGGTCTTATCTAAGGCTAATTGAAGGAGTGAAGGAAAAACATGGGAATCAAATGTAGTTTAATGTTTGCAGGTCACCAAGGCAGTAAACTTGTTGAATTTTTGACAGCTAGTCACTGGAATCCATTTCTCTCCCCCTCAAAATACAGTTGCAAACATTTTTTTCAAGTTTCTCAACCCATTTCTTTGAAAGAAAAGAAACTCGAAAAATATAAATATATATTGATTTACTGTCATTCTAGTCTTACTGGTGGGTCAACAGATTGTCGGTTGAATGCAATCATTTTATAGATGTGTTTAAATTATAACAAATAATAGTTCATTGCTCCATTAACTCCGAATCCACAGTTTGTGATGGAATTGAAGACCATCTGCAGTCTGTCACTATTGTGGTTGTTTCTCTAACACAGATCTCCATGTTAGCTTCAGGCTAATTCTGTTCCACATTACATCCCTATCTCTCTCTTCTGTATGTACTCCAGAAAAGCATGTTCTGCAGAATTTCATTGGAACTACATTAGAAAGCAAAATAAAAAAAACAGTTGTATTGGAGCAAGCATTTGCTTTCCATTTCCATCAGGAGGGACTCCAAATGTGCCCTTTTATTGCCATGAATTTACGTCCAAAGATTCTGTCTTTTGCAGGACATTATCTTTCATTCAATCAGTGGAAGTAAAACATTAGATGACTGAGGATTTTTCATTAGTCTTAGTGTTTATCAGGGGTTTTACACTGCTAGTTAGCACTCTGCTATGAGATTAGAGTAGTTAAAGTGTACTTTAAATCCGCTTCCAACTTTTAACTCGTTTGTGATTTCCACTGACATTTGTTTTATTCTAAATCCAGAGTTCTATGGTATGTAAGGCATGTGGGGTGTGGCGAAATGCAAACCTATACATAATTGTGTCATTCTTGAGTGTTTTAGGTTCATTTTTGTACAATATTGCAATAATGGTGTAACTGTAAATTCCTGCCTTTTGAAATAAAAAGGCTTGACTGTGGTGGTCCTAACCCAACAAAAAATGACACATAATAAATTTGCCTTTGGTACAGTGCCCTTCACATCAGGAGGACACCCAAAGCACTTGGATTAGGACGTACTGTAAAGTGGAGTAACATTTGTGGGCAAATGAGGCAGCCAATTTTCCACAACAGCCATGGGGTGAATAATCAACTTTATTTGAGGAATTGTTGGCCAGGACACCAGGAATAACTCTCTTCCCCTTTCGAATTGTGCCTTGGGATCTTTAAAGGTCCACTTGAACAGGCAGACGGGGCCACGGTTTAACGTATCATCTCATCATCACATTGTGTTGTGCTTTGA